TGGAATGCCGCATCTATCCCCTTAAAAGCGTATTATCGTACTCTGCACCCATGGCCGTCTTTGATGGTCAGGTTGTTGGCTGCCATTTATGGCTGCTGCTTGTGAGTAAAACCATGCCTCCTTCTTGTTCCTCCAGAGACAATGAACCTGTTCAGGAAAGCGTCTAAAAATAATTATAACCACGTACTGTTTAAATAGAGTTAAAAGCCTAAAATTTATTTTACATGCTTATTTTATATTTCGTAAATTATTTATAAATTATTTCAAATAGACGTTATAGCATGATAGCTTTGATGCTCCTTCCTCTCATTGAGTTCAGTTACCGTCTTAGATGAAGCAACTCTCGCTTCTGCTTCTTCCCCTCCAACGATGAACTAAATTTATACTACATTGAATTTTAAATAGGGTTAATACAACGATTGGTCCTCATAGTTTACCTCCATTTTGTTTTTGATCCCTGAAGTTCAAATCGGAGCTTTTGGTCCCTCAAATTTACCCCGTTTAAAACTGTTAGTCCCTCTAGTTTAAAAAGGACTTGGTGTTTGTGTTAAGGGTGTTATCTATACTGACTTGTCTTTTAACATCGTTTAATTTGCTAACGTGGCATGCCATATAGACTTATGACCTGGAAATCCTTTTTTTAAAAATAAATTTGTGATTATATGAGTGGGTGACCTGGACCTGAAAATTAACTACCACCGTTTAATTTGCTCTAATTCTTGAATATATTCTTAAATATATTATAGTGAGTCGGTTAGCCATCGAGAAGGGTTGTTCTTGAATATGAAACAAAAACAAAAAGTTCAGTTCTTGAATATGTATTCGAGAAGACCAGTTTTCGAATATATATTCAAGAAGGCCAGTAAAATTGCACATATTACTATATTAGTATTTAGATACCATTCCTGAAAAAGAAAATACACATTGGAAAATTCTGTCATTTTAATTGGGATAAATTTAATGACTAAACTTTCACTTCTTGATATGCAAGAAAAGTTAATTATTTTCTTATATCATGGATTGGAGGGAGTAATTTAATAATTTTTTTAATTTTTTTAGATTAATCAAATTTGGTCTTATACTAAAGACCAAAAGTAATGTTATTATTTATTTTTTTATTTATAACACGGGTGATGAACTGAGCAGTTGGATTGGGGTTTTCATGACAAGGATGACTGGGAAATGGGACCTGGTAAGCATAGCGGGGTACGGTGGTCAAGGGACAGCCATTGGGGTGGAGGAGATCAGAAATCTAACATGAATGCTGGTTGAATTTGAAGCTCATTGACTCATCTGTGGTACAACGTTTGAAACTCAAAATGATATGATTGATGCTGGTCGCGGTACGTAACGTTTATGGCATTCTCAATATGGGAAGCTTATTACATTTGATAAGAAGATTGTTAGGGTCTCTTGATAAACTTAAAATTGGTATCAAAAAATATTTTATCAATATTTAAAATTTCAATATCAGCATATTTTGTTAAAAGCATTAGTGTTAGGGGGGTTTTTTAAAATTAGGGAATTAAAATGAAACGTTGTGTGAATTATAGACCTTTTTCACCTTTTTTTTTCCTCCTCAAAGACATGTGGTTTAGAAAAAGATACTCCATGTAGTCTTATTTACAAGTTATTTAGAGCATATATCAATGAAACAAAAAAAAAATCCTAAATCTTGTTATAATATTAAAATTTAATAACTTTTTAATTTTATTTTTATTTAATATATATTATACCTCATGAGAACAAATTATACATTCATATAAAAAAGTTTAATAATACTATAACTTATACATATATATATAAAAAATTCTCTCTATCTTATACTACCTCTAGTTCTTAATCTAATAGCAAATTGAGAGTTGGATTTAGTCTTACCTTAATTTATTTTGTATCTTGTCTGTTTTTTTTTTTAAACATTCTTATTAATTGTAAGGGTTTTATCAAGAGATAGTTTTAATAATCTAATGAACATGATTGAGGATGATAATTTCAAAAAAATAACACATATTTGTAATAAATAATTAATTTAACTAATCTTTTTAATATTTTTAAATTTATTTATTTAAGGGAAAATGACAATAAAATACCACCTTAATTTCAAAAAGACAAATAAGGCACCTAAATAAGCAAAATGACATATAGGGGACTGGATACCAATTTGGAATTTAGATTTTTGGTCAAAAGACTGAAATTCCTTGTCTGAAAGTGAGAGAAAGTAGAGAGGAAGACGCTGATGAAATACGGAAAGAAGGAAAGAAGAGTGTTGGAAATACTATTATCTTACTCCTCCGCATCACCATTCTGTAGAGATTGTTGATTTGGTGGGTTTTAGTTGTGGGAAAGAGGATTTGTAGTAAGAGAGGGAGTAAACCTGTGGGAAAGAAGTTGATGGCGGAATTTGGATTATTCATTTTTGTGGCTGCTTCATGGTGAAATAGGAATAGGATTATTGCATTTGAGGGTTTATATTTAGTATTCGGTGAATGATGAAGCAGAAATCAGAAAATAATGGCAAGCAATTAAGTAATGTAACTGCTGTCATATGCCTGCTGGTTTTTGGTAAATCCCATTACGTGAATGGTAAATTTTATTATACATGTTGTTAATTATAAAAGTTAATTGTAAGAGTTTTATCAAGAGATAGTTTTAATAATCTAATGAACATGATTGAAGATGATAATTTTAAAAAAATAACACATATTTGTAATAAATAATTAATTTAACTAATCTTTTTAATATTTTTAAATTATTTAACTCTCGTGTTAAAAAGTAAAAGTAATATATATAGAAATTACGGAGTATTTCCGGTCCATACTTAACTTTTTGTTTTTATGTTCCGCGAATGCCAAACCCACGACTGACAGGGGCATGTGGCGTCGGGATAATTGGGGCTGGAATGCCGCATCTATCCCCTTAAAAGCGTATTATCGTACTCTGCACCCATGGCCGTCTTTGATGGTCAGGTTGTTGGCTGCCATTTATGGCTGCTGCTTGTGAGTAAAACCATGCCTCCTTCTTGTTCCTCCAGAGACAATGAACCTGTTTCAGGAAAGCGTCTAAAATAATTATAACCACGTACTGTTTAAATAGAGTTAACACCACAACAGACCATTGCTCGTGCTCTTTTCGAACAGACTAACAAGAGGAATCCTTACCTTTCAACAAAATGAAATGCAGACGACAACGCTCCTGTGACTTTCACTGACCTTCGCCCACGGTCACCGGACTCAACTGCACCGGCGACGGCCATGCAAGGCTTCTTCGGCTGTGGGTCCAACTTGACCTAGCACTTTCTTCTTTTTCCTTCAGCCTTTAACCGTCTTTGTTTTGTTTCCCAGTCAATCATGCGCGTGCACTTGTTTCAAGTGTGGGTATTGTTTGTTTTTTCTTGTTTTTTTAAAATCACAAATTCAGGTTGGCAAACTAATCACTAAGCCTTGTTGCCTAGTCAACATGCCATGTCAGCCAATAAAACGGTGTCAAAAGACACGTCAGCATAATTAACACTGTTAACACAAACACCAAGTTCTTTCTAAATTAGAGGGACTAACAGTTTTAAAAGGAGCAAACTTGAGGGACCAAAAGCTCCGGTTTGAAACTTCAGGGACCAAAAGCAAAATGAAGGTAAACTATGGGGACCAATCATTGTATTTTCCCTTTTAAAATATACTCTTTAGTCCTATTATAAATTTGAGAGAGAAGATATTTTTATCTTATTTATATGGTATTAAGAAATTTTTTTATATAGATGTATAATTTTGCCTTTCATTTATCATTGTGTTGATTTTGTTTACATGAAATATATGTATATTAAATGGGGATAAAATTAAAAAGTTGTTGAATTTTAAATGAGAGTTAATAAAATTTAAAGTTTTTTTTAGTCTGTGTGGAAGATGATGCCTCATGTGCCTTGATTTTTTTTTTTTTGAGTTTATCACATATGTCCTCCCGTTATGGGCACTCTTATTTGAAATACTGTTATTAAACCCAAACGTGAGAATATTTTCTAATAAGAATTTAAACTTTGATTCGTCACGTTATGAGAAATTGCTCTATTCCACTATTCTCAACTCATTGATATATTACCTTTGGTTCTTAATATAAGACCCTATTTGATTTTTATTTTGATCCTAAATATAAGACCCCAATCCATTTTGTCTTTATATTTATCTTTTTTTTTTTTAAGATAGTCCTTCTAATAATAATAGTTTTGGTCAATAAACTTGATTAGTAAGGATATTTTATGAAAGACAACACCTATTTATTACAAATAACTAATTTAACTTATTTTCTTAATCTACTCAAATTAATCAACTAGCTCTTATATATAGGACCGGAGGTAGTATATTTTAGATAATATCTACCCATCCGATTTTTATTATAAGACTTAATTATTGAGTTGATATTGATTCTAAATTTAAGATATATTTCTCATGTTTATGAATTTTTTCTAAATTACCTCTGCTGATATTCACTCAATCATGATCAAACAAGAGATGGAGGGAGGATATTAAAAAAAATAATTATAGTATTTTAGAAAAAATATGTCATATTTCTTATAACTAACTAACTTACCTAACTTCCTGAATCTAATCACATTAATTAAGTTTTATATTAATTACCAGAATCGCATTTGATGCAGGCATATTATGGGGGCGCCATTTACTAATATCAAAATGACCTTTCATTTAAAAAAAAAAAAACTGAAGCAAACATGCTCATAGGAGATTTTGTTGTCGCTTGTCAGACCTTCAAGATAAGAGAAATTATTTGCAAAATATCCTGACTTTTAAGAATCCTTTGATTTAAAAAAAAATTATGTTTTATCGCCAACAAATTCTTAAAAATTTGGATTGTTATGCTACGCCTGGGCCATGATCGAGCCCAATTCTGTTGTAAGGCAGGAAATGACTGTGGCTTAGTAATCCAGTTTTTTTTTTTTTTTTGATACTATAGTAATCCAGTTTCATAGCTAGCGGCCATCGTCGTCTTAATGTGCCATATCCAAACACGGCCTCAATGCTTCGAAGTTGGAGCAGGACACCGCCCCTGCCATTGCCCACCTTGAGGATGCTATCTTCGTCGTCACCGTTGTCTTCTGCTGCTGCTTGTGAAAGTAAACGACCCTCCTTTCTCAGAACCCCTTCTTCAAATCCTGGAATCTCTCTCCCTTATCTTCCGCCTCCGTCTTCAAAGTCTCATACCAGCCCTCAAAGAATGACGCTTTCGACCAGCTGTTTTGGGGCCAGCAGCCCCATTCCCATATCCGGAAAACCCGATTTGGAAAACCAAGAACCCGAATCCGATGACCATCAGTCGCTTGTGGTGGTGTCCTTCTACAAGTTCGCGGATTTCCCTGACCACGCCAACATGCGGAAACCTTTGAAGGCACTCTGTGAAGAGCTGGTACTTCTTCTGGTGCTCATAATGTTAACGCATCCTTGTGCTTTCTTTTCCACTGGAAGCTCAAGACATATTTGAATTCCGGGTGTTCGCAATGCTTATTTATATCTATGGATTTCAAGCACAAAATCAAGAGACAAACTATGTTTACTCTTTATTATTGTGGTTGGAATCAAATATCAGTATAATGTTATCTCTCGTTTTTTTTTTTTTTTTTAATACATTTTGAAGACGCTTCTTTGGAATCCGGAGTTTTTGACTGCTGGAACCTCATTGCTTGTGATAACCCTCAATCACATTTTTCTTTTGCAAAGCATATTTGTGGCCTAAGCATATTATCACACACACACACACACACACACACACACACACACACACACAACACTAGAAGATATGACGGTTCAGGGATTTATGAATGGCTGGAACTAATGCATTCGCGTTGTCGCAAATTTCATTCTTTCTGGCTTACAGTATTTATTTGCAGGGCAACAATATTTTGAGATCATAATTTTAACTCAAAATTTTAGAATGTGGGGGCATGGTTTGTTATTTATAGAATTTTTTTGCCCCCCCTTCATCATAGATTGTGCATGCAGCATGTTGAGATTTTTCATTAGTATTCCTGGGACTTCAAACTATCGTACTCCGCGTGCCTCACCGCCCTGATCCTATTCAGCGCGTTTCAGGGGGTATCATTCTTGCACCTGAAGGAATCAATGGCAGCATATGTGGCACTCGCGTGTCGGTGGAGAAAGTTCTTGCGTTTATACAAAGTGACGACCGTCTCAAGGGTCTTAGACAAGTGGAATCACCTGTGAGTCCTGAGGAAGAAGCTATTCATCATGGCCATAGTGCCAGTTCTCCTCTTGCTGCAGGGGAAGATGCACCTTTCCGATGGGATCATGTGAGGGTTAAGTTGAAGAAAGAGGTAAATCATTCACAGTGCCCAGAGAATGAAAAACTTGATCAAATATAGATTTACAAAGAGTTTGGCCATGTTGAGTTTAAGTATCTCATCATTTTTATCTGCTCTGGTTTCCTTTTGTTTTTGCTTGGTGGTGACAGATTGTTACGCTTGGGATGCCTGCTGTATCGCCCATTGAAAGGGTCGGAAATTATGTGAGCGCGAGAGATTGGAATGCATTGATTAGTGAACCTGATATAGTGAGCATCTTACTTTGTATATTATTATTCTTCTCTGATCTTTGGCCGTCTTTTACATGACACTGCAGGAACTTATTATGTCAAATATGTTTGCTTTTCTTAAATTGTTGGAATTCTTAATTACGCTAAAGGCTTTGTTTGGCCGAACTTGACTGACAAGAGATGGAAAAACAACGAGTGTGATGGTTCATTTGGTTATATATTTTATGTGAGACCTTTCCCCCTTTTAAGGTGACATGTAATGCCAAAGAAAGTGTGCCGTAGTCCCTCCCTGCCACTCAAAACCCAAAACATTTTGGTTCTGGAAAATTGTTTTTTTCCGCTTAGTTATTCTTATTAATTATCTTTATTTTTCCTTCGTTAAAAAGTATTAGCACTAGTTCCTGCCTAATTTTTCTATCAAAAAGGGAGAGGATTTCATGTCATCTGTAAAAAGTATTGAAAGGTTAAAGTTTGTGGTTCTCTAATCATCATTGGCATAATCACAGGGTGGCATTTTGATGAATGAAATTATCTTTTCCTCTCTATCTTTTCTCTAGATGTTTGGCTTTGTAGTTTGTTTGCTTTCTGAATGCATGGTCCAAGTTTAATGTTTTGGTTGTCTTTTCTTATCAATTTTATTTCTCAAGCGGGGAAGAAAAAGTTGAGGGGTACAGGCTCTTCTTCCACCTAGTTGAGCATATTTTTGTTTATCCCTACTGTATATGGATTGCAAATTTTATATCTCCAATGTGGTTGAATAAAAATTTCAGCTATTCAGTTTATATGAAATTATGAACATCATCAGGAACTAGAATAGCTATTGGCAGACGTGGTATAGGCATTTTATTTACTAGATGTGCAAACCTGTCTCTTATCAAACATGTAAATGTCTAGGTGGTGATTGATGTGCGGAACGATTATGAAACCAGAATAGGAAAATTTAAAGGAGCCGTTGATCCATGTACAACATCATTTCGTGAATTCCCTTATTGGGTGGAGGATAATTTTGAACTTACTAGAAACAATGGCAAGCCTGCACCAGTTGAGGCGAACAATTCAGGTGAAAGCGTAGAAAAGGAAACACAAAATCCTGAACGTATGCCTCGTGTTGCAATGTATTGCACTGGAGGTATTCGATGTGAAAAAGCTTCAAGTTTGCTCCTCAGCAAAGGTTTCAAAGAGGTGATTCTCCCCTTAAATTCCATGTTCTGGTTATTTGTGAAACGTCGCTGGATGTTGTATAACCTATCTAATAGCCGCAAGGAAAGACCCCTTGCTTGTTAGCTACGATTACCTTTATTTATATTTGTGCATAAAAATAAATTGCCATTTGTTTTGCGTAGTGGTAAGTAGTGGCAGGTCTACGTTCAATTTCTGGAACCATTTATAATATATTTGACCTGTCTCTCGTAATTCTGTTGTCATCAAGTGCACTTTTGAAATACAATTAACATTTCTGACGGCAAGGTATGCGCCTCCTTTTATTTTTAGCTCTTCGGACGTATCCTTGGATCGTTTAATCAAGCAGTTTCCCGATGTTTCATTAATATGATCAAAATATCCATCTTGTTCTAAATTTATGTCGTAACACTGGTGTTAGTTGACACCACCACCAGCACCATATCTTTTTTCATACTTCGATTTGTTTTAATGCTATATAATTACATCATATTTCTGTTTTGGAATCTTGTAGGTCTATCACTTGGAAGGTGGAATTCTGAAATATCTGGAGGAAGTGCCAAAAACAGAAAGCCTATGGCAGGGCGAATGCTTTGTGTTTGACAAGCGAGTATCTGTGGACCATGGTTTGGTGCAGGGAAATTTCAAGCTATGCTATGGTTGTAAGCAGCCTGTGAGTGATGCTGACATGGAAGCTCCAGAATTTGAATATGGAGTTTCCTGCCCACATTGTTTTTCACAGAAAGGAAGAGAAGAGAAGGAGAGGGCTCGAGCTCGGCAAAGACAGTTCCAGAGATGGGGAATCATAGGTGGTCCAGATAAAGGTCGCCGACCAGCATGTAAACCGGATAGTGGCAGTAGGAAATCTGATCAGCTTTCACGCTCAATTTAACTAATCAGACAGAAAAGGCTAGACATTTCTGCTTTGAACAAGTGGTTTGTGCTTTCTTATTCTTGCAGAGTGAAGTGAATGAAATGATAGATGCACGTTTAGTATGATTTTTCCTCCTAGGAACAATTTGTGAGCTTTGAGCCTGAGAAGCCTCACTTTTGGCATTCTGTGCTGTGCTGTAACTGATTAGTTCAGCATAAACTCCACTGTATTATTTTACTTCTTTAGTTCTACCTTCAACGTTTCCCTTCCATGTGGGTTCACTGAGTTTTGTCATGGCAATATTGTCTTATTTTCCTTCAGTCCTGGCTTTCATGGTGATTTTTTAGTTATAATCTGAAGCAAAATTTGGGTTTTTATTCCGTAATTAGGAAATGAAGAAAAGCTTGAAGTACTACCGTTAAGTTAGTTTTTTGGGGGGGGGGGGGGGAGGGATGCAGTGTTGTGTGGATTCGTTTATGTAATTCAACTGTGAAAAAGGGTCGTACTAGGGCCAGGATGGGGTGATTTATGTTCACTAACATAAGTGGGATTCATTAATCAACTTAGAGTACTATGTATATTTCTTAATCTGATGCCCCGTCTTGTGAAAAAAGAAGAAAAGGGTAAATCATACTTATCACTAATCACTTGATCAACTAAGAAGGTGTTTAGGTAGAAGAACAAAATCATAATTTTAAAAGTATTTTTATGGTATACGAAATAAATTGTCTCTATTTACAGAAAAAATGATTTTGGGGTTATCTAAACAGCCTTTTAAGAGGAAGTGGAATTCTTTTGAACGTCATCTTCAATTATTTTTACATTTTGTCACATTATTATTTAGTACAGCATTGAAATCAGGGGAACATTCTGGGCTTTAGCGATGATGTCTCGGTTGCGCTATGGACAAAATTAGTTAATTATTTTGACATGGCGCATATCATTGGCCTTACTGGACGACCGTACCAAAAAGACGAAAACGGGGCTCATACCAATCCTTTCCACAAGGATCTGACGGTCTAGATTTGATCGTGTTATATATTCCCTTATTGGGTGGAGGATAATTTTGAACTTACTAGAAACAATGGCAAGCCTGCACCAGTTGAGGCGAACAATTCAGGTGAAAGCGTAGAAAAGGAAACACAAAATCCTGAACGTATGCCTCGTGTTGCAATGTATTGCACTGGAGGTATTCGATGTGAAAAAGCTTCAAGTTTGCTCCTCAGCAAAGGTTTCAAAGAGGTGATTCTCCCCTTAAATTCCATGTTCTGGTTATTTGTGAAACGTCGCTGGATGTTGTATAACCTATCTAATAGCCGCAAGGAAAGACCCCTTGCTTGTTAGCTACGATTACCTTTATTTTATATTTGTGCATAAAATAAATTGCCATTTGTTTTGCGTAGTGGTAAGTAGTGGCAGGTCTACGTTCAATTTCTGGAACCATTTATAATATATTTGACCTGTCTCTCGTAATTCTGTTGTCATCAAGTGCACTTTTGAAATACAATTAACATTTCTGACGGCAAGGTATGCGCCTCCTTTTATTTTTAGCTCTTCGGACGTATCCTTGGATCGTTTAATCAAGCAGTTTCCCGATGTTTCATTAATATGATCAAAATATCCATCTTGTTCTAAATTTATGTCGTAACACTGGTGTTAGTTGACACCACCACCAGCACCATTATCTTTTTTCATACTTCGATTTGTTTTAATGCTATATAATTACATCATATTTCTGTTTTGGAATCTTGTAGGTCTATCACTTGGAAGGTGGAATTCTGAAATATCTGGAGGAAGTGCCAAAAACAGAAAGCCTATGGCAGGGTGAATGCTTTGTGTTTGACAAGCGAGTATCTGTGGACCATGGTTTGGTGCAAGGAAATTTCAAGCTATGCTATGGTTGTAAGCAGCCTGTGAGTGATGCTGACATGGAAGCTCCAGAATTTGAATATGGAGTTTCCTGCCCACATTGTTTTTCACAGAAATCAGAGGAAGAGAAGGAGAGGGCTCGAGCTCGGCAAAGACAGTTCCAGAGATGGGGAATCATAGGTGGTCCAGATAAAGGTCGCCGACCAGCATGTAAACCGGATAGTGGCAGTAGGAAATCTGATCAGCTTTCACGCTCAATTTAACTAATCAGACAGAAAAGGCTAGACATTTCTGCTTTGAACAAGTGGTTTGTGCTTTCTTATTCTTGCAGAGTGAAGTGAACTGATAGATGCACGTTTAGTATGATTTTTCCTCCTAGGAACAATTTGTGAGCTTTGAGCCTGAGAAGCCTCACTTTTGGCATTCTGTGCTGTGCTGTAACTGATTAGTTCAGCATAAACTCCACTGTATTATTTTACTTCTTTAGTTCTACCTTCAACGTTTCCCCTTCCATGTGGGTTCACTGAGTTTTGTCATGGCAATATTGTCTTATTTTCCTTCAGTCCTGGCTTTCATGGTGATTTTTAGTTATAATCTGAAGCAAATTTTGGGTTTTTATTCCGTAATTAGGAAATGAAGAAAAGCTTGAAGTACTACCGTTAAGTTAGTTTTTTTGGGGGGGGGGGAGGGATGCAGTGTTGTGTGGATTCGTTTATGTAATTCAACTGTGAAAAAGGGTCGTACTAGGGCCAGGATGGGGTAATTTATGTTCACTAACATAAGTGGGATTCATTAATCAACTTAGAGTACTATGTATATTTCTTAATCTGATGCCCCGTCTTGTGAAAAAAGAAGAAAAGGGTAAATCATACTTATCACTAATCACTTGATCAACTAAGAGGGTGTTTGAGTATTGTCTCTATTTACAGAAAAATGATTTTGGGGTTATCTAAACAGCCTTTTAAGAGGAAGTGGAATTTCTTTTGAACGTCATCTTCAATTATTTTTTACATTTTGTCACATTATTATTTAGTACAGCATTGAAATCAGGGGAACATTCTGGGCTTTAGCGATGATGTCTCGGTTGCGCTATGGACAAAATTAGTTAATTATTTTGACATGGCGCATTATCATTGGCCTTACTGGCGACCGTACCAAAAGACGAAAACGGGGCTCATACCAATCCTTTCCACAAGGATCTGACGGTCTAGATTTGATCGTGTTATATAACTCCAGATCATATGTTCCCTCACAACATTCCGAATTAATTGAAGTGCTAGGGTTCCTTTCAGCGTAGAATTTTGCGTTCGGAAATTGCAGTAATGGCTGGTTTAGCTTCGAAGCTTCGCGTCCAACCCACTGACGTTAAAGCTGCTGCCATGTGGGGCGTCACCGCCGCCACTGGAGCTCTGTATCTGATTCAGGTATTGCACAACTCCTAATTTCCTCTCTTTTCCCTCAAGATATTGCGATTTTCCATTTCGTTGTCCTTTAATGCTTCTGTTTTTTTTAAATATTTTTGGAGGGCATTATGATTTTCTTGTCTTGCTGATCCGCAAAACCTCTTGGAATCACATCTGATTTTAACGCCTGTCAAACTCTCTTCGATTTGTGAACGAGCTGTGATTTTCAAAATTTTTGGGGAACAATTATTGGAGCCGCCTTTGTCTGCATCTGCCGCTGGGCAATTAATTCTCATAATCTGAAGCTTGAAAGAAGAAAGATAATCGAGCAGTTTATCATAAGGCTTATGATCTTAATGATTCTGTGCACCGTATTGTCCTGGTCACATTGTTCTGGTATATGACAGTGTGTGAAATAGATCTTGTTGCGTTACGTTGGGAGCTGCTTCTGGCTTCTGTAGCCTTGTTCCCTATCGTGGAAAAATACCATTCTATCATGTCCGTTCCGGCCCTTTGGAAACCACCCATTGTGGCATTCTCATCAACTGTGTGGTTTAATGAATAATCATGATCTTTGAGGTCCTCTTTCTTTATAATTTTATATACGTATATTCAAAATATAGGTTTGTCCCATCAACCATAATGTCAAACGAGCTTATCTTCTTCAACGTCGTTGTTTTTTTTTTTGGTTGAGTTTTTCTAATGCCACTGTGAATAGCTGCTGGGGGTCTTAAACTGTTGTTCTGTGTCTTTGTGATACTGGCGATGGAAGTTCTGTTTAGAAATTGCGTCCTAACGATAAACTGTTGTTTTGTGTCTTTGTGATACTGGCGATGGAAGTTCTGTTTAGAAATTGCGTCCTAACAAACTAGTTCACGTAATTTGTCTGGAGAAAATAAAGAAATTTTGTTTGGTACATTGAACAGGTCTAAGCTCAATTTTGTTATTTGAGAAAGTTGCATGAAATTTAAGCCAAAGTTTGCTGACCTTTGAAAAAAGCTAACCGATGGTCATGTTGCTAAAAGTCCCAATGTCTTTTGTCGTCGTAATATGTTCACTTCAAACGTGGGGAGTGGCTGTGGCTGGGGTTTAATATCTTCCAAATTCCTTCTATCAGTATTTTTAGCAACTTTTGCATCAACTCTTTGTAAAATGTTAGACTTTGATTTAAATTCAGCTTTTGATTGGGTATCATGCTTTTGTTTGTAAGATCCTTCGTAACTTTAATTTCCAATACCTTATTATTTTGCAATTCTAATGTATCTTCTTTAAACGATTGACAGCCGTGGGGTTGGTTGAAGAGGACTTTCTTGGAGAAGCCTGAGCCTGAGCAGAAGTGAGTTGGGATCTGAAATTGTCCAAAATTTTTCTTCCATTTCAATGACGAGTATTTGAGAACAGTTGAATAATGTGATTTCTTGCGGAGAAACTTCTCACATCTCTTTCTGCGATGGACATAGATATTGAATTTTAATTTTTCTCATGGTTTTTGGTCTGGACTTCCTCCTTTTGTAGTTCAGTTGTGGAGATAGTCGCTGCGATAACTAAGAAAGGCAATAAATACTCTTGATTCTTAAATTCATCCGATCTTAACTATAGATTTGTTCAGATTAGTTCCGATTCGCCCAAAAGTTAGTTGATTGTTGCAGATGGATTTTATGCATACATTAATCACCAAAATACGCACCAAACACAGACCTCAGGCGTCAAGCACAGTCGCGCTCATGAACCTAAGTTCTTGGTTGGTGCTCATTAGAGTGATGAGCTCACAATTTCGCCGGCGCCCCTGCTGTAGTCCATAGGACTCTGGTTGTCAAATGTGACATGATCTGTTATTGCACGAACGACTTGAACAGATTAGCTTATTTATCTGAATTTCTTTTTCAGAATCAATCTTATTAAGGAGAAGCGATGAAATGTGTTGTGTAAAATTAAAGAATTTGAAATAGAAATAAGGGATAATATATTTTGTAGTCTTTTAAATTTGTCTTAATTTTGGTTTTAGTCTCTAAAATTTCTTTTTATCTAAAATTTGGTTCTTAAAAATCTAAGATTTAAAATTTGAGAAATTAAAATCAAAATGAGTGCAATGCCAAATATTATATTAACCATAGAAATAATATTTAATCTGAAAGATGCAAATAACCAGATTTTCGGAGGGATGGCGAGTGATCAGAGGAAGGAGGATTGGGGGATTGAGGAAGAAAGCTTCGTTACAGAATTGTACGTGCGGGCCAAACTAGAGCCCCAGGTAATCAATCCAAATGTGGTAGATGTTATCAAATAGGACCTATGAGGCAACCTCTGTCACTCGCACCATCTAGCGATATCGTTGGAACTGTTTTGACTGGCAACGGCATCACTAGGTGCTTATGAAACTGCAAGTGCTACAGCCACAGCAGCTCAGTTTTGCAGCCATGTCTGAGTTTTCAAGCTGGAACTATTTTTCATGCAGAATTTTATTTGAAGTTTTTGTGATATTGTACACAATTTCTAATTAATCACCAAAATCGTTGCCAGTCATATTTTGTGTTTGCTGCCGCCAGAACATAATTCATGATTTGCTTCCCTGTTCTTAACGTATCATTGGAATTTCAAATTTGTGAGGCATCATTGTCAAATTCTCACGTTGTAGCAGTATCACTTACAAAGACGATTGAACATAGTGGGTCCAAACAATAAAGGTGGATGCAAACCCTTGAGCCAGAATCTTGTAGGAAAGCCCAAGAACAGCTTTCAAAATGCAGAAGCAGTTATGTGACAGCAACAATGCAGAAAGAAATCGAAGCTACAGAAACCCCTTCACGTACACTCAGGAGTTACTAACATGACAAGAAAGAAAGGAAAAGTCGTGGAAATACAAGCATGGATATCAAAATCATGGGTCCGTCGCTTTGTTCATTCAGAAGAGTGTTGAGGAGAAACAGAAGTGTCGTTTTGCCTGAGAGCTTGGATGACTCTGGAGGTTGTATCAAATATGTGAGCCCTTCTGTTGTAATCCAAAGGCTCCTTGCCAACATCTTCACCCATTATGGCTTCCCTCTCCAGACACTCCAACAGCTCCACCAATCCCTGCCCTTCCTCACATTTATGCCTGAACCTCGCCATCCCAATCTCTTCACCTTCTCCTTCTTCCTGTTCCTTCATCTCTGCCTCCAATTCTCTCTGCAACTCTGCCTCCAAACTCCAGCTCGCACATCCCACTGCTGCCCCATCATCTCCTTTTCTCCTCTGAACTATCCTCCAGCCTTGGCTCATCTTCATCTTGCTAGGTTTGAAGCCATGACTCTGAACCAGAGGGCAGGAGTAGCTGCTCTGGCTGGGGCCGAAAGGAGCGAGAAGCGAACAGAGGCTTTGTGGGTTAGCTTGACACAGAAACGCTTTCATGGTTAGGCTTTGTGGATTATGCGTGTTCCTTGGTTGGAACTTGGAATGAGGAGACCTGACGTTGTGGAGGGGAATATATATATATATATATATATATATATAAAAAGAGGCGGAGAACGGAAGAGAAGCCCAACCCCACCGGTGCACGTGGCAGAAGACGAGGGGAGGGACAGAGAATTGGAGATGATTGGTTGATGGCATCCACTTGGCAGCAGCAAGAGGAGACAGACAGAGAGGGCACGATGCACGCGTCCGAAAGAGTGATTGTCCGCAATTACAACTCCTCCAATTTCCCTGACCTTTTGTCTTTCGCTTCGTCTCACGATTCTCTCACCATGCGTATCCTGTAACAGCGTTCGGGGTTGTCATAAATCGAATTTAACACAATTGATATATTGATCGGAAAATCTCATAATGTCAGGTCAAAAGAAATAAAATAAGATTTCATTATTCCAGCGAGTTTGCATTTTCCATGACCATGGGGTACGAGTGAAGCTTTAATACATACTTTTGCACTATTTTCTTAATTGATATATTTACTAAACCATTAATATTAATTGAGTTGACGATCATGAGGCTTTTTTTTTTCTTTTTTGCCAGCGATCATGACACGTTTACATCATCTTAAAATTTTCATTATATACTTACACCTAAGATGTTACATGGGAATGGGAGGTAAGGGTAACTAGATAAATAAAAAGAGGAATGATAGGTCAACAAATAGGATACGAAATAGTACACCAGATGTCTAGTTGATATTTTATTCTCTCTCTTTGATTATCATCAATGGCATCAGTTCCTGTCACCGCCGCCGCCGCCGATAATCACTAGAAAGTTGATCTAACTTTTACCATACATGCATCGGTCACAAACCAATACCATCAAGTTGTTCATTCACATCCTTTAGCTTGAGGTTCGGCATGTGGTCCGATGCTTTGGTCCAAACATCCTCACCCATTTCATTTCTATACCGGTGCTTAATACTAGCTTCTGTCCTAATTATAAAAGCTAATTTATTAATTTAAAAAAATTAAAAAAAATTAAATTAGTTATTTGTAATAAATAGGTATTGTCTTTTCTAAAATATCCTTGCTAATTAAGTGTGTTGGTTAGAATTATCATTGTTAAAAAGACTACCTTGAAAAAAATATATAAATATGAGAGACAAAAATAGATTTGGTCTTATATTTAGAATCAAAATAAAATCAAACAAGATCATATATTAAGAACCGGAAGGAGTATAAAAATTAGTTGACTAATTTAAGTAACTTAAAAAAATTAGTTAAGTTAGTTATTTTTAATAAATATGTGTTATTTTTCTTAAAATGTTCTTGCTAATCAAGTATATTAGCTACAACTATCATTATTACAAAGACTACTTTGAAAAAAATTGGATAAATATGAGAGTCAAAATGAATTGGAGTCTTATATTTAAAACCAAAATAAGAATTAAACGAGATCTTATGTTAAGGATCAAAGATAATACAATGCTAATTATATCAAAATCATCTTATGATATTAAGTGATACTGAAAACTACTCTTTTAGTTTTATTTATCAGATAAAGAGAAAAAAAAAGTCCTTAGTCCTATTTATAGGACAGAGAGATAAATTTTTTATATAATTGTATAATTTTATCCTTCATTTATTATTATGTTAATTGTTTTTATGGAATATAATATATATGAAATAGAGATAAATTTGAAAAGCTGTTAAATTTTAAAAGACAGTCAGTAAAATTTAAAGTTTTTTTCGTCTTTGTAAAATATGTTGAAAGTGACTCATAAATAGGATCAGAAGAGTATATTTTAAAATGCTGAATGTACAAAAAAATTATTTGAAAATACTACTACTACTGTAAAACTACTTTTGGTTGTTAAATATGCTAAATATAAATTAACCCTTGGCCTTTTTATAGATGTGAAACAGTTTAGATACTTATGGCATGTTTGTCTAAATTTTAAAGTATTTTATCGAAAGCAATTTATCATGCCGAGATTCTGAAAGCAATAAACATGATTATAACACTAAAAATCATTTATTATTTATTGAAAGGCTAGAAACGAAGGTGTGAAAAAAATTTCAGAGGGAGGCGATTCGTATAGGGAGAGCTGTATGTAGCCTGTGATTAGCATCTTCCAAAGACAAAGACAACCTTGGAAATTCGGTGGGAACGATGAGGATCTTCCCTTGTCTTAATATTCGTGTCGCTCTTCAATTTGGCTTCCAGCATCTCACTTTCCTTCCTTTCGGTCCACCCTCTGAAATTGTTTTCAAATTGGATACCTGAAGATTGCATTCCCATTTTTAGAAGTGTTTGACCAACTCCTTGACCTACACGCCAACACGTGTAGCACGTGGTGAGAAATTCCTAGCTCTATTTCCAGCAAAATACCAGGAGCAAGTGCACAAAACGAGGTTTTTCCAATATATGAAGCAATCTAATGCTTCCTAGTTTGGTGAAAAAGCTACTCATACCTATGTTCAACTTTTATCTATACCGAAGAAATTATTGACCAGTTTTTTTCTCAAGACCACAACTTCTATTCCTTTTAAAGCTCAAGCTTGCCTCAAGCTCAATCACACTCTGCATAGTTTACTCATCCTTGGCCCTCTTTTTCACCAGTAGCTAATCTTATCTGAACTTTGGCTTTTTGGTCAAATTTCAAAGGACCGCATATGAGTCGGTGGTTTGTAACGTATATTGTGGTCTGGGGACATTGGAAATTTTTAGTTCGGTGATTTTTGAGATCTGGAGACCACAAAGTTGAAATGGTCATGGGTTTCGAAGCTACTTGATTGAATTTCACCTTCATTTCATTTTGCCCAACAAACTCAAGCTACTGTCACAATTTGGAGGGAGCTTTGTTGTGGTTGAAGAAAGTGGGAAGCAAAAGGCTTTTGAATAAGGTAGCAAGGTTGCATGTATTGATTCCACAGTTCTTTTCCAGGAATGAGTTCTGAGCGCTTAAAAAAATAAAAAACTACTCCAGAATGGTGTTTTCTTGGCGATAATTCTGATTTTGCTAACAAGCAGATATAAAATACTGCATAATTACCTCACCCTTTCCTCTCTTCTTCTTCTTTTTTTTTTGCATTTTCCATTTTTGCCCTCAAATTTTATCATTCTCTGAAAGCATTGAACCGATCGAGTTTGCCAGTCAGCAATACCCACTAATCTGAAGCTTGTACTATGTTCTTTGCTGAAGTATCATATTGTAATTCTGGTCATCAAAAGAAATCTCATCCTCTTCATTCTACAGAGACTTTTGCCGGCATTGTTTCACACAGGCGTGAAATTTCTAACTCTGGGGTTTTAGATGATTCAAATTAAAGTTTGCATAGAGGCCTTCCCACAAGAGAATGAAATGGAGTCCAGCGATGTTAGATGAGGGACTAGCCCATTGAAAGTTGTACACGAAAAAATGAGACCTTTTGCTTTGCAAGCTGATGATGAATCAGAATCCAGTTCAGAAACAAATGCTTGAATCATTTAGCTTCATCTTCCTGAACAAAATTACATTCATGCCTGACATGTTCGATGTGCAGAAGAAGAGTGATCTTTGCTCTATTGGTCTGCTGATTCTGTTGAGTTAAAATGTCAGTTCTTTAATGGTAGTATAAATTCATCTGCTAAAGCGGCTCTTTGAAGCCACTTTCAAACTTCTTTGGACTTGATCTCAACCACATGTTATGTTTTGTTCTAACTTGTGTTTGAATGGAGGTGAACTAAAGTTACTTCTTATGACTAATTTGACTTTTTTATTCAATATTGTCATCTTACAGTTAAAGCATACCCTGTATTTGAGCAAAGAAAACCTTGCATTGCAATTCTTTTTAATTTTCCATAAATTTATTGGGGTCATGCCTGAGAAGAGCCTGCGTAGTTTTCATGACAAGAAGTCTAGCATAGAAGGAATAGGATTAAACGAAGAAAAATAGGAAATCTAAAAAAGCATAGTAACTAAGTGAAATGTCAACCAATTAATTATGAGTGCCAATGAGCTGTAGAACTTGAGAAGGTGATTATTCTAAAAGAAATATTTTTTAAGCGTTTGTGAGCACAATACAATGTACAATTATGAAATACAAGTTTAAAATACACAAGAACTCTGTATTTACCAAAATCTAATTTTAATACCAAGAACCTAAATTCCCATGCGCAACAAGAGGGCAACTGCCCGAGTAATACAGATCAATTTGAAAAATGAATCTAAGCTACTTCTAAGTTCCAGTATACATGTTTAGAGCAACAGGGCAATCCAATTGCTCACATTGACGATAACAAAATGGGGACTACAAAACCCAACAACAAAAAATAAATGTCGTTCTGACAAAAGAACATCCAATTGACACACTCAATGACATCATGTTTCCTAGAAATTATGCTTTAATCCTTGAAGCACTTCTACTCAACTATGGTCGTGTTCATTTTTCATGAGCTCATTACCTTTACCAGATGACCGAATTCCTCTCATCACTTGACTTGGTGAGGAATAACCCATCAATTGATGAAGTGGCGAACTCCTTGTGGGTGGCACAGTCTCTATGTCTGATGATGATCTTTCTGAGGAGACCCCTTTTGATTCATGTGTTCCTACTGGAGCCTTAATTGTATGAGAATGTCTTGGAGCAATCTTGTCTTCCTCCTCAAAAGCACCACTAGAGTCATTTGTGTCATGTCCACTGCCATGCAATGGATGAAATGAGGTCAGTGAAACAGGATCTCCTCCTGATGAGTAGCTTTTAGACACATAATTTCCATAATCGTCAGAAAATGAAACGGGGACCACATGAGAAGAATGAAAATAATTGGCACGAGAAGCTGAAGAAGCCAACTGAGTGCTCCTATTGATCACCTCGCTTCGGTCATCATGCTGACTCGGGTCATAAGAAACTATATGACTTTTATCCTGCAATGAAAACTTGAGGATCTCCGAACAGTGTCCACATTTTAGCTGATGACACACCCTTTTGAAAAGGAGAAAATCAGCAGGCAACTGAAGCAGCTTGAAGCAATAACTACAAGTGATAAAGGGGGCCCCACCTGAAACTGGTCGAAAATATTTCTTATTCATGCTCTGTTTCTCCCTAAAGTACATTCTCTTCTCATGAGCTCGATGCCTCTGATCATTAGACTTTGTTTCATGGCCATATAATTGAAGTTTAGAGCTCATGTACCTTGGTGCCCTCAAAGGATAAGAGCGGTGAGGGAAGCAACAATTGTTGTGAACAGGACGATATTTGCATAACTCTTCATGTTGGCAAAGAGCATGTGGAGGCAACTCTGCTGAGTATCTCCACTCTTGGCGCTGACAATGGAAGCAAGAACTATCGACATGGTGCGTGCTGCTTGATGCCTCATCGGAAAAAGGTATTGATGATATCTTACTCCTTTGTCGCCAGATTGGTCCATGATCATGTGAAATGAAAGCTTGAGCTACTGAAATAGTGCTCATCATCAGGTACTTGATTTGATGGGATGACACTTCCATAGCTAGATTGTGAACCACTTCGATGGTAAGGCATCCGAGGTGGATGATGCTCTGTCCCTGCTCTCATTCGATGACGAACTGCACGGTCATGCCTTGTAGTCTCTAGCACTTCGTATTGACTCCTTTTGGTGTCTTTCATGACATGATGCTTTCCCCTGGGCAAATCAGGTGGAATATTCATGCTATTGATAGGGCCTTTCCCCCTTCTATGCCTTCCCTTAGAAATGAGATTAGCCGCATCGTTATTGTTCTCAAAAGGTTTCAAATGTCGGTCAGGGAATTGCTTATCCATTTCATCATAAGAAGAGGCACTGCCATCATAAGCATGGCAGCTTTTTGTGGTTGGGGATTTAGACAATTCTCCAAGATCACCACTAATCTCTGAACTCTGATTGATTGCTTCTGTGTTATCAGAAGTATATGGTTTAGGCTCCAGACCTTGCTTCATTTGTTTATCATGAGAAGATACAGGATCACCCGACGTACTCCCCTTACCCAATGCTGAGTTATCTTCTGTTAAACTTTTGGCAGTATCATCGCTTCTAGTAACTCCCACTTCAGTTTTCAGTTCTATTTTAGTGGATTTGTCATTGTTGGCATCTACTCCACCTGAAGTACTGATTAACTGCTCTTTTGCTTCCTGAAATGCCAAGTTTCTATTATGTGACCTTGCTGCTCTTGCTAATCGCAAGTGGGCATCAGTTGTCTCTTCTGCTGAACTCTCTCCTCCCATCATTGATGAGGCCTCAATCTTTGTCTCTGTTAGCTCAGTAGGACAGCCATTGTTGGATATTTTATGCTGCTTGAATCTAGCATGTGACAGTTTATCGATATTCATCTCCTTTTCCATCTCTTCATCTGATAGACTGAAAGCCACATTGAACTCCCCGTTTTCATTTTGATCTTTTCCACGAATTTCATCCAACGAGCATTCACCTGAGGGAAAACTTGTTGATTCTGTTATCTTATTGTTCTCATGGGGAAGATCTATCTGCTCTCTGTTGCACTCCCCCTTACCATCTTGATCCTCATTGCCATTTTGATCCAAAGATCTTGAAGAAAAACTAGTTGCTTTTGACCCATTTGGAAGAACTAGCTTCTTTCCATTGCATACCTCATTTCTGTTTTGATCCTTGCGGTCGTTTACATCCAAAGAATATTCTCCTGATGAAGAACTAGTCGATTTTGTCATCTGAACTTTCTCCTGAGGAAGACCTAGCTGCTTTCTATTGAGGTCTCCATTTTCATTGACATCCGAAGAATGTTCTGCTGAGGAAGAAATAGTTGACTCTTCCCTCAGAAGAGTCTGTTGAGGAAGAGGCAGTTGCTTTTCATCACATTCCCCACCCTCACTTTGATCCCTTACAACATTTATATTCAAAGAACAGTGCCCTGAGGAAGAATTATTTCTTTCTGTCATCACAATTTCCTCCTGAGGAAGAACTAATTGGTTTGCATCGCATTCCCCATTTTCATTTTGATTACTTCCACTATCCCCACCCAAAGAGCATTCTCCTGAGAAAGAACTAGTTCTTCTTGTACTATCAGCATTCTCCTGAAGAATTAACTGCCTGTTATTGCATTCCCCATTTTCAATTTGATTGCCGCCATCACCTCCCTTCAAAGAGCATTCTTCTGAGGACGAGTTAGTTGTTTTTTTCCTCAGCACATTCTCATGAGGAAGAGCAGGCTGCTCTACTTTGCTGCATCCTTTATCTTCTGAAACAAGATTCACCACGTTTTTAGGAGCTGCATCAGTTTCACGTCTGCAGGATTCAGGATTGGCAGCCTCCTTTTTTCGTTTCTTGGCTGTATACAGCAAAATGAAATGATTTCGGTTACAACATCAAAACTATACGTGGCATACAGAATCAACACCCCCATTTGCAGGAGTTGGATATTCATTGAAAACTAACACATGTACAAGACATTATAGCAATCAAGCAAAAGAGTATGTAGACATTAAACAAGTTCACAAAAATTAGGTTGAACAAGTCTACAAGAGTGATCAACCCGAGCGCATTGTTTGAAGTGTTAAGAGAGTTCAACAGCCAAAAAAAATCCCAGTTTAAACACAGAATTAAGGAGCAAAATCATATAAAGTGGCGTGATTTGTTACCTTCAAGAGTTGTATAGCATCCTCCGCACATATATAACGTAAAGTGTGAATACTCTTGAAGCAATTGCCCGCATTTGGGACACCTAACTATCCGAGGTTGTTCAGTCATCTTACTAAAAATGGAACTCGCTCCAAATAATTGTAGATGTCAAGCTCAACTCATTCATCCACACACAACAATGACACCAAAAACACAAATCTATCCAGAATTCTTGCTATCTGCATCAGATAAAAGTAAAGTTTGGCTTCAATTCTTCAACGCAACTATTTAAAAATCGTCCTACAAATTGAATCTAATATTAAAAAAAAAAAAAAGAGGACAAAAACGACAGAACAGGAAGTTCAATTCCCCGAGCAAACTCGGGAAACAAAGATTTTAAGTGTTGTAGGCACATGGCTATGTACCCATTCTTTTATCTACCTATAGATGATGAATAGATTAGCACTAACAGCCAACCACTCCGTGATCCACATATCTCAATATATTTATTATTATTTAGTTAGCCAACAAATATAGTTAATATAAGTTGAAGTTATGACAAGCTCGTAGCAAATACCGAAACATTATTCTTCAAAGAAATAGAAGTTGAAAAAGAAAATGATTAAAAAGAACCCATTCATGCGTACATAAGAAGAACGAGCAGAAATGCCAAAATTACCTCCAATCACCTTAATTTTCCGGGTAGATCGAATGAGATATTCAGTTTCTTCAGCAGCTTGCAACCGACAAAATAGCAGTGGCTGATGAATTGAAGAAAGCAGAGAAACAGAAGTTAATGTATGTGTAGAGATATAAATTCAGAAAAGCAAACGCAAATTCTCAGAAATAAAAGGAGACGAAATCCATGATCAGAGGGTCAACACGAAGTATACTGAATTTGAAAAGCAGGGGAGCTAAAACGAACCTGTGAGGAAATTGTGAGAGAGAATTGTCAGAAGTGAGAAATGCTTCGTGTGGCACAAATCTTACGGCGAAAGAAATAAAAATAGGAAAGAGAGAGGAAGAGATGGATGAAGTTACTTGACTGACTCTTTGTTCCTCCTTGATTCTTCTATTCCGTGTTTAGAAGGAAATTTAGTCAACTCTGAGGTAGAGGAAACTGAGTTTCTCTCCTCTCTTCTCTCTCTGCTTCGTTTGCTTTGAATCTATGTTCTGTTTCTTCGACGGTCTGTGTTCATATTCATATCTCTCTCTCCCGGGTTGGGCGTGTTTTCCACCGTGGAGGGGACCCGGACCTTTGGAGTCGGCGCCTTCGCCATTTAAAGCAAAAGCCATTGATGATCTGGCATCTAGTGGGTCCCACTTAGACTTTTATTCCTTTATTTAAAATTAAAACGGTTTTATGTAATTTTCGCATTGAATGATAAATAGGAAATGAATTCGTTAACCTGCATTCCATGAAAGAATGAGAGAATTGAGGGAATTAATATTTATTGATGTAAGTCGATGAAGATGAATAAAATATCCCTTCGATATTTAATATAAGATCTAATTGTTAAGTTAATTTTAGTCCTAAATATAAAAACTATTTCTCATATTTGTCAATTTTTCTAAAATTATCCTTATGGGTACTTCCTCAACTATAATCAAGTAGAAAAGGGGGAGAGAATATTAAAAAAGATGATTATGGTGTTTTAGGAAAAACATGTCATATTTCTTATAATTAACTAACTTACATAACTTCTTTAATTTAATCAAATTAGTTAAATAGGTTTTATATTAAAGATTGAAAGAGTAGATTCTTTAATAAATACAAGATCTTCTAACTAATTTATAAAATTTAGAAAGTAATTTAGTTATTTGTAATTATTATAAAAAAATAAATGAAAAATTATATTTAAAACTAAGACCCTCGTATCAGGGGAGTATTAATTTCATAATTAGAAGGTTTTTCTTCAGAAAAATTCTCAATTCTTAATTTTTCATCTAATTATGTCGTCGTTAGTTTTCCTCCAAGTTTTGAGTGTTTTTTTTTTTTGCTGGTCAAAAAAACAAGTTTTGAGTGTTTTTTAAGACATTATAAAAATCAGTGCCGCTTATCTTTTATTGGGAAAAGTTATAAAAAAAAAATCGTACTATTTAAAAAAGTGAAAGTGAAAAAGAAACGCAGCAGAAGAACCCGCGCGAAAAATTTTGAGTCGTTGGACGAAGTCAACGCAGGTGAGGTTTGACTGGGTTCATGCGAGCTGTCCCCGACGCGTGGCGGTACATGATAATCTTGCTAAAAGGAGTAAATCCTCCCTAACGTCAATTTAATTATATTCTCATGTTGGAAAAATAATTTTTTACTATTAAATTAATCAAGGGAGAACACAAGTGCACAACCATTTCTTACATTTATGATTTAAGATTGTTTTGAACTTACTATAATTTACAAACAGTGACAATAATGAAAATGTATGAGCCCCTCCTCCCCAAAAAAAAAAGGATTCTTTTAGTACGGACACGGTGTTCATTTGCGGGCATGATGAGAGGATGTAACGAGAGAGAGAGAGGAGGGGCAGGTGATGACCTGGTAAAGAAGCCCGGGAGGTTTGACTTATAGATGATTTGACGATGATGATTGACTAAGTCAAAGTCTTGCACTCTTGCTCATTACTCGGCCTATTGTTGAGATTTGAGAGTGTCTTACCCAGACCCAGCCAAGGGAAACTATAGAGCCAGACCCACAAAACCGAATTTGTGGTCAGTATACTGTTATCAAACTTGTGAGTTGACTTTCCGAATTTAATATTTTTATATTTTCAGTTAATAAAATCGTATTGACTCGTTCTTAAATTTGTGATAAATATAAACTCGGTTAAACTTACAAGTTCATTTACTGATTTTATTGTTTTTACATTTTTAACTTACAAAATCATGCTAATTTGCTTTTAAACTTGTACTAAAATTTTAAATTTTATTATATTTAATGACTTTATATGTGATTTTTATAAAATTTTTTTTGTTAAATATGATAAATTATGACCATTAATGAATATAATTTCAATTATTTAAATTTAAAATATATTTAAATAAAATTATTCTCATTTTTTATATATTAATTATCTGATTATATACTTTTAATACTAATTTATTAATAAAAGTAAACTCTTACGACGATCCGAGTTTATATTATTATCACGAATTTGTTTAAACTTGTGAGTTTAACAACATTAGTTCAGTCCCCTTTTGCCACATTCCCGCACCATATTTTTATAAATTCAAAAATAAACATCTTCAATGTGATGATATATAAACCTATACTAGTTATATATCTATATCTATATCTATATATATATATATATCAAACACACTGTGGACTTACATTAATATAAAAAAGAAATAAAATTGTAGCGTTGTGCTTTGTCTGATAAGTTATCTGATTATGCCTCGTTAATGGTTTGATTTTTCATATAAATTTTATATTGTATGTGTGAATTCATGGGACTCATCAATAAATTTCATTTTTTCCGCAATTAAAATTCATCTATCCTAAATGCGGAGTCGTTCCCCCCCCCCCACCCACCCCGGGGGGAGAAACCTACTTTTTGAATCTCATAAATGAAAATTAACAAGCAACTAATTTACGTCCAGACACCATATATTTCACATGTAAAAGGTCACAGTCTCTTTCAAAGGAAGCTCCCATGCCGGCGATACAACATATTATCACATTGCTTTAGAATGGAAAAGAATTTGAATTTAATAAAATACATGTATAAAAAAATTTTTATTCAAAGTATCTCCCAAGTAACAACATGAAAATTGGTGGCACCAAGCTATTATAAAAAAACAACATATAAATGTATAACTTTCTATTTCGTGGCATTTTTATCTTTAATTTTTTCCAAGTGTAATAACTGGATGGCTTTAATATTTGCAGCAATCATCGTAGTTGATATGGCTTAATTTGTTGAAGTCAGCTGTTTTAATTTTCAAATAAACGTTTATCAGGAATGCAGCATGCGTATTATTGATTTCACATTTTCACCTGAAAGCTGTCTTCTACTTTGAGGCTTTGAGCTATGCGCAAGTGAATTAAGTGACCCTCAAATGGTTAAAAAACCTAAAAGGATGATTGTCTTATTAAAACCTGTCTTTTTCTAAGGTTGAGTAGTTGAGTTGCAGATTAATGCAGGGGTTACGACGTCATCTAATATTTATCAGACTGCTTGACCTGACTAAAAGACTACTATATGTCAAGCTCGATGATCAACCATGTCTTCTACGTTAACCATAAGATTCCCACTCCCACAGCCACAAGTGAAGTTGACTTGACTAGTAAGCAGAGTTCAAATGGATGGCACATAATGGCTCAGTTCAAATATCTAAAGAGAAATAGATTATCAAGCATTAATTATAATCCCCGCTACCCAAAAATAAAACAAGTGTTGTGTTGCACAACGTCAATTATCAATCTAACTGTTTGATGCTTGGTGATAAGCTAGTCAACATCATATAATGTTGATATGCTCACAGATGCAAGAAAAATGAATGCAAATATTGATGATAAGCAAAGCTTTAGCATCTGCGAGATAGGAGTGATGATACTCAAACTGAATGTAACTTAGGAAGTTGCAACAGCATGACGCCTTTGCTCAGTAAATGCTCGACGGAGTTCCTGGTATCCACTCTTAAAGTGATCAAGTGCATAGCAGAGTTGCCGTATGGCCTCCCTCTTCTCCTCAGCTCTCTCCGACATTACGGCTTTCTGTCTAGCCACCATTATCTCTAGCTCTTTCAGTTTCAATTTCAACTCATTTACTTGATTAAGTCTAGCTTCAGATATTGATTTGAGCTCTTCATGGTGGGCATGAAACAGGCAAAGGTCTTTCTCCATATTCTCAATCAGATTGTCTCGGGTTCTTGCGTCTGCTATGAGTTTATGAATCTTTGCACTGGCTCCGTCATTTTCAGCCACCACCATGTCATACTTATGCTTATGGCCGTCGATTTCCTTGTTCAAGGCGTCAATATCATGCCTTCTTTCACCAAGTTCTTCCTTCAAAAAACTGATTTCACCTCGTAGAACCATTTCTTGGGCTGCATTTTGCTCTTCTAGTTTCAACTTTTCAGCCTCACACTGCCTAAATTTATTTTCTAACAAGTGGCTTCTTAACTCCCATTCCTTGAGTGCAGAGTCCAGCTGTGTTCTTGCTTCTGACAAACTTAAAACGTCAGACTTCAAAAGCTCTTTCTCCAAAGAATACCTGGTCTGGGCATCAAGCATTTCAGCCTTCAAATTTAGCACCTCATGCTCACGTTTGCTCTCATTACCTTTGTACCATGTAATTTCTTCTTCCAGCTCTCGAATCTGCTTTCTCCCTGAATCAAGCTCCGCTTCTAATGTGGCGACATTTTCTTGTGCCCGTTCAAGCTGACATTGCAATTCATGACCACTATCACATTTATTTTTTAATTCTGCAATCTCATATTTCGATACTCTAAGATGTTCTCTAGCTACCGCTAATTCTTCCGTCAGCTCTGCAATTTTGCAGCAACAATCTTGAACGCGAGTTTCCATATCAGATGTTTGATTTTGCAACTTCAGGACCTTTTCTTTTTCACATTCAAGATCGCCCTCCCTCATTTTTAATTCCTTTAGCACATGATGGAGCTGATCCTCACAATTCACAATCTGACTCTTTGAATTGATAACCTCCTCCTCTGAGAGCCGAAGTTTTAATCTTGCATCTCTCAGCTCTTCCTCAGTTTTAATGAGTTTGCTGAGCAATTCCTCATAACTTGTATAATCACTTTCCCACAATGTATTATCCGTATGATCCTCCCCAGCCATCTGCTTTTGAGACTCTGGACCAAGAAATCCTTCATTCAGCTTGATCTCCCGGTGGTGGAGTCCATTGCCATCAGTATTCATTGGCAAGCCATGGTAACGATTTATGGATGAATTAGAATTTTCAGATTCTGATTCTGAGGACGAGGAGAAAGGTGATCCAGAGGTCTGCTTTGAAGAAACCCCAGAGCTATGACCAGCCGAGCCAGGAAACAGGTCCATATCGACAGTGGGAAGATCAGACTTGCTCAGCCCCTTCGTCTGGTATGGAGTGTAATATGGAGTCATTAACGCAGTTCCTTCGTTGCCTGACGCAGAATTGTTGAAGCCCTCCATCTAAAATTCAGAGATTAACAGCTTAGACAAGAAAATTGCCCTAAAGGAATGTAAACTGCCTTCAAAGTGTAATTTTGGCCATTACAATCATCGGGAGATGAGATTCGAAAGAGTCAAAAAGGTAAGATATTGTCATGCTCTAGAGAACTATAAAGGCAGTATAATTTTGCTTTAACTCTGATTTAGTTATAATTTTACATCCGGACAATCACAAGAATCAGTAAGGACCAAGTCATTAGAGTTAACAAGAACGAATGGAATGAAATGATAATGCAACGCCACAAAAATCACCGGTTGACTAATTATCTCATTCACCCTCGCCCCTAAAAAGTTAAAAACAAAATGAAAAGCGAAGGAGCTAAGTAAAATAATATCATAATTATCACTAAACTGAAACCAAGTATCCAGTTGTCGCTCGAATTTCAAATCGCAGATATTAACATTGGACCAAAAAGCAAATATTCTTTTGCAGTTCGTGAGCGGAAATTAGTCCCTTCAAAGCACTGAATCAAATCCAAGATTCTAAGTTATATTATTTCTTCTATTAATATATGCCTCTCCACCGATCTTCGCCTCTTTCTCTGTTTAGTTCTAATTTTAAGCCTTGCCCGGCCAAACTGGTCGCAGGGGCGCATCATCTTCAACAGAATGAAGACGTAAAGCAGATCCAGTAAATTACAGAACGGCACGCAACCGACTAATCGTATAAGAGGAAAAACCGTCGGAATTAGGGTGAACCGCTTATACAAAATCTCACAGTGACCAACAACGAAAGCGAAAGTGAAGAATTTAATTTAAACGAGGTAAAACTAAGATTATAATGGAGATAATTGTGAATTGAGGGAGTTCACTGACCTGTGATAAGTTGAAGAAAAAAGAGATAGAGACTTTTTTCTGATTTCTATGGATCACCAAAAAAGCTGAAACGGGAAAGTGAACAAGAGCAGAGCATGTGGGTTTGCCTTGAAACAAAGCCAACGGGAAAGGTATGGGTTGAGGACAACTGTGTAAGAAATCCTCAATTTGGGCTGTCATGTAAGCTCCTTTTTTCCCAATATACCCTCGTCACTTTCTCTTCCCGCTCTAGGATTTTCCTCTCTTCTTTTTTAAAAAAAGCAAGATCTTCCCACTCTATTTGAATAAACATTTGATACTTGATTAATATCATTATAATAAAAATGAAATATTTAAGTTAATTAATTGGTTTAGTAATTTATTAATGATGATTAATCACTTGAATGTACATTTTCAATGGCCCCGTTTGACAAAGCGATAGAAATTCTTTATAAACACATTTTATGTAAATCGAAATAAAATTTCTCTCATATATTTACCTCGTATTCCGTAAATTTTTATTAAAAAATTATTTATAAATTGTTCAAAATAAACCCTTAGAAAGGAACAAAGAATCTGGACGCGTAGAAATCTTGACAATGATTAGAGGACTGCATAGGGGTGTTTCGGGAACGCAACATATAACGCCTTGGGCCCAGATGTTCCATGCCCGCGAAATGAATGAATTTTGAAAAGCGGAGCTTAAATTTTAGAAACCTTCACAACGCCTAAACATTTAAAATTTAAAAATGTCGCATCAACTTTGTCGTTGTGGGGCCCACTTGGCCTGCTGCTAAATTTTTTAATACAAGAAAAAGGACTTTTAAAATCTGATATTAATTTCTGAAATTCATTTGAATCTCAATATTTTTATCTATCATGTTTATATGTCATGGTTTTTAATTTAAATATAATAAATAAATTTATTTATTTTTATACAGATAATTTTATTATTTTTGAGTCAATTCTCGTTCCTATTTTTTTCCTGGAAAAAATGTACTTATGATATTAAAGAATAATACACTTGGTTGTTTGATTGAAACATTTATTAATATAAATGAAAATTGTATGAAATCATTAGTTTTTTTTTTAATTCTCCTCCCGGACCCTCTTTTGTCCTTTTCCCATTATTTTTTCCCACAACGATTGAAAAAAATTTTAAAAAAAAATTACGAGGAAATTATTAGCATTAAATATATAGCTACTCAATTTTATAGCTCATCATCATGGCCATTATTCCCAGAGAAGTTTGCGTGCGAGAGATACTTTCATATGGAGATTAAAAAAATGACTCTGGTATTTGAGCCGCTTTCTTTTGGGGCCATCGTTTTGAGGTAGTAGTCAATGTCAGGCGATACTTGAATTATAATTACGAGTTCATTGCTTTCTAAGAACGGCAAAGGGTAATAAACCCTCTAGATATGCCAGAAGGCAGAAAGAAAGAAAGGGGGGGGGGGGGTGCGTTTTCGTCCCTGCGGATGCTGCATACTCTTGAAATTTTGTTGTTGTAAACCATGAATCTTAATGGAATTTCGGATTTGGACTATGTTGTTGAGTATCATTGTGCAAACCTCGTTAGGTTATGGATTGATTATGGATATTTGAATCAATATGTTTAAACACGGTTATTGTCAGTTTATACACTATTGTGGACGGTAAACTTTATGTTTTCACTCTCTGAAAGTGTTTGGTTGAATATATTTTTTGAATTGAAGAGATAGACACAGTGGTATGAGATTACAAGGAGATAGAGTGCTTGTTTGGATCAGCGATTGGAAAAGCAGTTTATAGAAAAAGTAGCTTATAGAAAAGTAAAGTTGGTAAAAGTTAAATTGGATAAGCTGAATTGTGTTTGGATTGGAGTTCAGAAAAGCTAGTTTACACAAGTGAAATTGGTAAAAGCTTGTTTAGATTATAATTGAGTAAAAGTAAGTTTGGCTGAAAAATTACCAAAATAGATATGAGTTTTAATAAATAATAAAACATGATGAAAAATTGATTTCAGACAATACAATAAAATTTAAATAAATTAATATGAAGAAATAAAATTCTGGGTGAAAAAGAAACGAAAATTATGCTTGTGAGAGGCACAGGCAAATGGAAAAGGAAAAAAGGACCTAACATTGCAGAACAACTCTTCTGAATTTTTTTTTTTGGCCAAAAGCTCTTCTAATTTAAGTCATAAGCTCTTTTTTGCAGCTTATGGCAATTGGACGTTCAGATAGGTGTTTTTAACATAAGCTCAATTAGTTTTAAACTCTACCAAACAGGTCTCATTTGCAACCTAACTTATTTTAAAATTTAAACTCATTTTAAGCTACTTTTGGTCAGCGACCCAGAATACATAACCTCCCATGTATAGAAAAGTATTCATGTTACTAAGCTATAAGATTTTTGACGCTAATTATGTTGATTCTTTTATACCATGAGAGGCTCTTTCTAACCACGACAAGGCCTCATGAACGCTGCATTTATGGGTTGATTCTTACTCAATCATGATAGACTTTCAAAGCAGTGTTTTGTCCTCTTTCCTGCCTTAATAATTGTGAATTGACCCTTAATAATTGTGAATTGACTTTGAAATCCTATAAGGCCTGTTTGAGATACCAGTGAAAATCATTCACAAAGACATTTTATGTAAACTAAGACAAAACACATCTCACATACTTGTTTCATATTTTATAAATCATGATTAAAAAACTACTTATAAGCTATTCTAAATAAACTCGTACTCTTGTTGGCATGGCTTAACTGGTGTCTAGTGTGATGTTTAAAAGTTTTTTTTTTCTTTCAAACGTGTTACATTTTTTGTCTTGGTTAGTTGCGTCTCTTAGAGAGAAGATGGCGGACACATGTAGGATAGACCGTGCAAAGTCCTGTGTTGGGACGTCCTCCTCTTCATTCTATTTTCATTATAACTAATTATTTACCTTTTTTCCTATGCATATTTTTACCTGAGAATAGTATACTCCAATATAAATTTTATTTTTAAAAAGATGTGTCTTCTCATACATGATAAAAAAAATTTGAGAAATCGAAGTGTTACTCAAGAAAACATGCCTAATGAAGTATAAAATTTATAATAAACATTTATTGAAGCAAAACGGGTATAAAATGCAACCCATGCAGGACACGGTACCCACTTAATATCTCGCTAGAAAGGGACGATATTGCGATAATTCCAGTTTGAGTAGTAAATAGTAACAAGGAGACGCCGTGAATTCAGTGCATTGGGACTCCATTTGTTGTCCCTTTCAGGTTCAAGCGAATCACAGTTCCTGTACACTGTACACTTAATCTTATTTATGAATTATTACAATCATTCAATATTTGCAGTTGGTCTAATTTATTACATTCCAGACGCTTCCTGCCATAAAAACCATCCAAAAATAGTTTAGTGACCATGACCACAGATTTAACAGCAATCAAACACGCAGACGACCTTCGCTTCAGTGAAAGCAAACCTTCATCTTATAAAGCTTTGTTTTATATAATATATATTGATACTCATATACTGATATTGACCATAAAATTACGGTTTTGATGAACCTCACCCAAATTTCTCAACAATTATCAAGTTTTAACTCACATTCCCGAAGTTCTCATGATGCAAAATGACCCCATCAATCCAACGAAGGCATACGTTGACTGAAACGCCTCAATAGTCCCCTTAAATGATCAAAAAGCATGCGTTTCGACCCTACGAGACTATTCACAAGATCCCAATCCCATATATGCCTCGCATGTATCCTCACCAACAGGGCCCAAAGCAAAATAACTGAGTGAGAGGTAAGCACATACAATGCTGCGAGCGCAGAGAAGGCCATGCCTGCGACTGTGAGAGAGGAAGGGGTCGACATGGCAGAATCAAGAACGGTTCCCTTGAGGCAGCACTTTGTTCTGGTACATGGCATAGGAGGAGGAAGTTGGTGCTGGTACAAAATTCGGTGCCTTATGGAGAATTCTGGCTACAAGGTCTCATGCATAGACCTCAAAAGCGCTGGAATTGATCGATCTGATGCCGATTCTATTATTTCCTTCGACGATTACAATCAACCTCTCATGGATTTCATGTCTGCTTTGCCTGAGAACGAACAGGTTGTGCTCACCACTTGCTCCTGTCTCTTCTTCCCCATCTGTCAGTCTCTTTCTTCACAGATTCCAATTAAACTGCTGATGATATCAAATAGGTGATATTGGTAGCACATAGCGCAGGAGGGTTGAGTATTACTCAGGCCTGTCACAAGTTTTCAAAGAAGATCCGATTAGCAGTGTATTTAGCCGCAACTATGCTCAAGCTGGGATACCAGACAGAAGAGGATATGAAAGATGTAACTCCTTTTCATTCAACTCCTTATACTTTTATCGTTTTAAACATTTAATGTCTCATTCTTCTTAATTAGTTCACCTTAACAACAATAATTATATGCCCACCTGAGGATGTGAATATCAAGATGTGAGTAGAAAAGTCCTCAGGTGTGATCTTAAAATTGCAGGGAAACAGTTGAGTCAGAAAGGCTCCAACAAAATAGAATTAGAATTTAAGAAATTTGTAAGTAGGCAGGTTTTATAGTCTTAATGACTTCAGATTTGGGAGTCAGATAAGAAAAATTGGGACGAGCCAGTGATTCATATGCTGGGATTTCGTTGTTGCCTGACATATGAATCTTGAAGGTTTCCAGCAAGGATGATATTGATGGTAGTATGTTGAAGTAATTGGCTTCCAACTGTCTTGAAAATTATTGAATTCTTGGGCAAGTCTGAGGCTCAACAGTACTATTATGCAAAGCACTCACTTACTCTGTCATATTTTTTTCTTTTCAAACGAATAATACCCCCATAAACAAACAATGTAGCCACTGTTTTAAAATGGGGGGCTTCTGTCTTTTCTCCCTCCTTTCCCCCTTCTTTCCTCCCTTTCTTCTTGCCCTTATCTAGGAGACGGTTTAACGTTCTGTGCCATTGTTAGACTTCACAAGGTAGACCACTTACGATGCCTGCTTAGCCTGCCCTCCATTTTTTCGTTTTCAATGTTTTCTCCTCTGCCATCAAACTGCTATTGTTAATTTTATCAGAGTCAATAACAATGGCTTTAAAAGTCATCTTCTTTATTTCATCTCATGCATTGTGACCCAGCGTGCTTATCTCCTTCGTGCGGTTGATTCTGAAAAATGATGACGAGGAGTCTACTCTAACCTAAACAGAGAAAATCCTTTGCAAAATTCCCCCACCCATGATGCCCTAACTCATTCACAATCATTACCTTCTCGAATCTAATGAAGTTTTTCATTTCGAACTGTGCTTATCTATATCAAGTAATTTCTTGCCATCTAAAACCCATAACACAAATTGTGATAATAATCATCACAACTTTATAAGCATTTTTATAGCCACGTTATCCTGTTTCCAACAAACAAGAAATTGCTAAATGTCGTGTTTTCTTCCTTTTCTTAACCTGAACAGGAATTATATCCGACAACCCTGTCCCACAGGTCTACTTTTTTTTTTTTTGATATACTGGAAAGCAAAACACCCACAGGTCTACTTTATCATCCACTGATAATAGCAATTTCTATTGTGTCTGAGTCTAACGTAGCGCCAAGAATTGAACAGAAGCAAATAATTGCAAGTGAACCCCTAATTGCTTGAATTTCTTGACATCAGAAAGCGAACTTTCTGTGGCCCTTAAACTCTGGATATAATGATATACTTAGAGATGTTTACGTTATGCATCAAGCAGGGGGTACCTGACATATCTGAGTTTGGGGATGTGTACGAGCTAGGATTTGGACTGGGAAAGGATAAGCCCCCGACAAGTGCTGTGGTGAAGAAAGAGTTTCAACGCAAAATCATATACCATTTGAGCCCCCATGAGGTAAATCACTCCAAAAATTAGGAAAAAAAAACAGACAAAGCAGCTAGGGCAAAAATGAAATCTCCATTAAACTGTTTAAAACCATTATTACTTTCTCAGGACTTTAAGCTGTAGAATACCCCACAGCCCACAATTTCTAGATCTGCTTTTTCTACGAGTAGGACCATAAATAGCTATAGCCAGTGCCCCCAATTTTTTAGCGAGAACATGAAAACCTAGATCATATATCTAAACAGTTAAAGACTTATCAATTCAGTAATGTCACACAAAGAAATGCCGTTTGGGTTTCAGGATTCAACCTTAGCTGCGATGCTTTTGAAGCCCGGGCCGCTTCTAGCTCTGACCAGCGCGCGATTTGACGATGAAGGGGAAGTGGAGAAGGTGAGGCGCGTGTACATAAGGACGAAGCACGATAAGGTGGTGAAGGGAGAGCAACAAGAGGCGATGATAAAGAAGTGGCCACCATGTGCAGTGTATGAACTGGACAGCGACCATAGCCCGTTTTTCTCCACGCCATTCGTCCTCTTTGGCTTGCTCGTGAAAGCTGCAGCTTTTGACGTTGGATGCAACTTCCTAAGCCAAAGCTGAGGGACCCCTCCTTCCCTTTTCCTTCGCTGATTCCATCTTCAAGCAAACCGTAAGTTCGTCTCTGCTCTCCAGTTTCTGATAGTGGCCGAGGCGAGAATGTTATGGGAACACCACTTTTTAACCGTGGCATAATTGTTTTAATAAATTTATTATTAGTATAAGGGTTAATATAATTTTCCAGATTCAGAGCGAAGCAGAAGCATGCCGAATCGAACGCACGGCATGTGCTTGTAACAGAGTTAACAACCATCAGGCGATCGAGAGGCGGTTAATATAATTTAAGGATTAATATAATTTTTGGTTTTGGCCAAAAAAAAATTTTTGGGTTATTTAAATTTGTTTTTTATTTTGTTTCTTCAAATTTTAAATAACAAGTTTTGGTCTTTCAAATTTTTTTAGAAATTTTTTATTTTATTTTTTACTCCTTCAAAAGCAGGTTTTCTCTTAGAAATTATGAGAAAAATTCCTCTCATATATTTATCTTGTATAACATAAAATCACTCAAAATAAAATAAACCCAACGTTGCAAGCACCCCCTAAAGCAAATTTATCTATTTCCTTTGCCGGTCCCTCAAATTAATTGAAATGCTAAAAAGTTATATGATAGGTAAGTGACTTGGACAAATACGCACCAGCGATCTAGGGAGTGTTTGGATGGAAATCAAATCAGAATTTCAAAAGTGTTTTTACAGTTTACGAAATAAATATGTGAAGGAGTTTATCTCGTTTTACGAAAAAATGTTTTTCAAAAATGACTTTGAGGGTTGCCAAACACCCCTCTAAACACATCAACGAGGGAAGGAAACTTGTTTTCAGATAATGGGACATGTTCATATCACTGTTATATACTTAGCCTTTTTTTTTTTTGCCAGAACTATTAGCTTAGTCTATTATTTCAGACTTCATATACTTCTACTTCCCACAGCCTCAGCTCAAAACGAGTCACAAACCATAACATCAAACCCAGGTGATCCATGCGCATTCTCAGGCTTTAACACAAGCAAGCTTTATCACTTCATACTCCTCGGGTCCTTAATATAGGATCTAATTGTTGAGTTGGTTTTAGTCTTAAATATAAGACCCATTTCTCATATTTATCAATTTTCTCTAAATTACTCCTATGAATACTCTCTCAACCATAATCAAATAAAAGAGGAAGATGGAGTATTAAGAAAGATGATTATGGTATTTTAGAAAAAACATGTCACATTTTTTATAATTAACTACCTTACCTAACTTTCTTAATCTAATCAAATTAGTTAAATGGGTCTTATATTAAGGACCGGAGAAGTAGTCGATATGAGGGAGAAAGTATCCAATGTGTGCAAAATTCATATATTATACTTTTCTCTGATAATGTTCAGTATAAATGGTACTCGTGGCCCTAATTAAAAGTGAAAATCAAATAGATGAATGACTCTTTTGGCATTGAAAAAGCAATAATTCCTCCAGTGTATTACTCGCTCTCCAATAGAACTGATTTATACATATTTGTAGCAATAATGCCGATGCAGCCAGTGGAAGATACGTTGGTGGGACTCAATGAGGAGCCTTAGATAACATAGCCATCGTGGCTGTCTTCTTATGTAGCTCTGACTTGTTGGCCCCAACAAGCTTCTCTACTTGTCGTCCATCTTTCAGAAAATAGAATGTTGGAAGTGCTTTGATATCCCATGAACTACTCAACTCCTACATTTACCCAACACACGTTTTCCAATAAGGAATTAGCTTCGACCATATTCAAACGTAAGCTGTGCAGCAGATAACAGCTTCATTTGCGGTAGTGTCTAGAGGGAAAAATTCGGTTGCAATTGATAAGGTAAACGGCATGTGACTAGGCTGTGTTTGAGTGACACCCCAAATCATGGTTTGGGGAATAAATCACCCAAACACCCACCCAAAAACCAAAACCATGGTTTTGGAAAAAGCAAAAAAAATTTGCTTTTGGAAAAAAAAGGGAGAGTGTGAGAGCCTATAGGATATGTATCTTGTTTTTTTTTTATAAACATATTTTTTTATAAACACATTTAATCTTATATTTTATAAATATATATACATATTAATTATTTATTAATTATATTATCTTATGTATTATTAATTACGTTAATAAAAAATATATTATTAACAATCTTATTCCTTTAAATTAAAATATATCATAAAATTTATTTTTTCTGTAATTATCATATTAACTTATGTCTTTTTTTTAGTAATTTGTATATATAAAAAGTGCTTCTGATAACAACTATCCAAACACTCTCACTTCTCAAAATTACTTTTTCATAAAATCTATTCTTTCCAGAATCTATTCTTCCCAGAATCTATTCTCCAGAATCACTTTTTCAAATCACGGTTTGGTTTCATCTAAACACACCCTAAATCAGGGAAAGTAATATGGTTTCCTATTCTCACTGTTTTAGTCACAGTATGCTGCATCAAAAAATCTATACTTTTTCAATATAAAAAAAAATCTATACTTACAGCAAGCCCATCAGCATCTACTGTCAGAAACAAAAGGCTCGAATACTTATCGGCCAGCTCAGCATAGGTAGGTGCAATATCTTTACAGGGATTAGACCAAGATGCTGTAAAGTTTGCCACAACCTATAGAATAGATGCCCAGGACCCAAAGAAAAAAAATCTTGTCAGAGATAGATAACGACACTGTTGTAGCTATTAAGTTATAACTAAAACAAGTGACTAACTGTTCACCAATTAAAAAAAAAAAAAACAAGTGACTAACTCAGAAAAAGCTAGCAACAACGGTATAATGCACTTCTGTGGGAACGTTGGATGCCTGAGTAGATTTTTTTTGGCTTACTTTTAAAATACTGGTATGTCTCTGAAAGTAGAAACTACATACAAAACTGCTAAATTTCTCGAGTAGCAACCAAATGAAATGAAGCTCGTGATGCATTAATCCCTGACAAGATTCCTTTGTCATTCCATATTAATATTTTGTTTCTTGGCCCACGTAGCTAATCATTGTACTATAAACTTACAATCTGTCCCTCCTGGTTGGCTCGTAGTAGATTTGTTTCCCAACTCTGAATGCTAGTTATGTGGTGTACATTCCTGGAAGTATGGTACAGTCTATCAGAACTCTGATCCTCACTATTACTTCCACAGAACTGCAATAATCATGCAACTATCAGTTGATGTGACCGGGATAATAATAAGAAATTACTTGATTTTATGAATATGAAGGAAGAACAGACCATGAAAATTTTCATGGAAATATTTATGTCTACTCGAAAAGCAGTGAAACATCTCCGCAGGACATTCAAGAATCAGGAAATGATTCATATGTTATAAAGACAACAAAATGCCTTGAAGTCACACAATCAGAAGTGAACCCAAAAGGAATAATGCCCCTTATAACTCTCATCAAATCGATAGAAATAAGAAAGGATTTTCTAGAGGTTTTCTACAAAATGTCACCTTTAAACCAGTGATCATTTTTAGTTAGTCATGTTGGACAGGCAATAGGCATAATCTTCGTTGATCCTTGTTCATGTAAATTCGATAGTTTTACGCTGGTTGTTGAGAGCCTAATATAATCCTCCTCCTTTATCCAAGCTTGGAACCAGTTACACATTGGTGGAGTTGTATTAGGTGTAACGTCCTGAGTTTTATCGAGTTTTAATAGCCTCTTTTTGGTTGATTTTGAGGATAGATTAGTGATTAAACCTTGATCTTGGTGTTTGGCTTGGGATTGAGATATGTTGAAGGAATAGGTGAACAATCCCTCTCAGGGTTTGTTCGCCGCGAAGAGCCGGGAGTTCCAGGGGGATGTCTTTTCAGGAAGGTTTGGCCGCGGTGAAATCAGAGGGACGCCGCAACGAAGTTGTTCAGGTGAGCGAGGTTTCCCTCTCGGGGAGGTCTTGCCGCGGCGAAAGTTTTTTGGGCGAGCGAGAGTTTCCTCTCAGGAAGCTTTCGCCGCGGCGAAGTCAGGTTTTCAGGTGAGTAATCCCTTTCAGGATTAGTTCGCCGCGGCGAAGGGGGTCGAATCTATATAGTCGCAGGAGGGGTCAGATGTGCGAAAATTAGAAAATCTAAAGGAAAAGAGAGAGGCTCTGCTAGGGTTTTGAATTTTTAGCTTGGAGGGGGCATTTCTAAGGATCCATTACCTCAAGTAAGTGATTTTAACCTCTAATCTACTTTCTTTCTTGGAATTTATGAGGATTTATGGTGAAACCCTAGAGTTTTCTAGGTTGTGATGGAATTGAGGTTTTTGATAGATTATTTTGAGTTTAATTGATTGCTTTGGGCTAGTCTAAGTATTTAATCGGTGTAGTTTTCTTAGATTTAAAGAACTTTGAGTTTTTGAAATTAGGGTTTATGAAAATGGGAGGTTTGTGATTGAGGATGATAATGTGGAGGTTGATTTTGAGTTTTGTGATTTGGGTTATGTTAAGGAGGGTTAAATTGGATGTTTAATCGGTTTAGAATGTTGTTAAGACTTCAATTGTTCAAATGGGATGTTTGGGTGTTGAATTCCTATAGTAGGTCCTTGAGGTTATGAGTTTTAATTGATGTTTGGAAAGGAATTAAGGTTTTAATGGATTTTTATGACCTTGGAATGTTGCCTTGATGGTTATACCCTTTTTAGTTGGGTAGAGTTGTGGTTGGAGCTAGAAATTTTGTGTCCCTAAGTGTTGTTTTGGCCACATTATTAGTTGAAAGCTAATACATGATAGTTGTGTGCTTGTGTAGACTGGTTGTGAGCCTTATTGGTGCACGGGGCCGTATTGTTGGTTTGTTATTCCTTACTCAGGCGAGAGATAACCACTTTCCAATCCTTTGTACATGCTTTTGTGGTATTGTAAGTGGTTTTATGTTTTGTACTCCGAGTAAGAACTGTGTTCAAAGTGTATGTTGTATATTGAAAAGGAAAAACCGTCTTGTGAGGTTTAAATTGATATTGATTGAATCTGGAACTTGTGAAAGATAGGCCACTGGAAGAAGTTAATTGTGAAATGATCCTTTACTCTTTGATTACGGTTTGAGCATGATGCATGAATTAGGAATTGGTGAGAGTTTCGATTGTTATTACCACGTGGTAAGGCCTCCATTAATGCATGATGGTTGGCTCTTTACGTCCTCCATAGTGAGGGATAGGCCGAGTTCGGCTCTTGAAAATCTCCCAAAGTGAGGGATATGGTTGATGGGATTGCATCATTGCACTTGCATGACTTGTTGTGGCTATCATTTATCATATTATTTGTAAACTACCCTACTTGACACCTCACGAGTACCTGTTTAGTAGTACCTTGAATTGAAAAGGTTGGTTACTGGGACGTTTATCTCACCCCGTGGTTTACATGTTTTTAGGTGAAGGTTCTAGGCGTGTGCTTTCGAGAAGAGACGCAGAGGTTTGAGCTTGGTTAGCTTTAGGCCTCTGGCCCTTGTATATGTATGGCTAGTTGTATATTGCCACATTTAGGGCCCCTTTTGAAATATTTTGATTGTCTGGTCTTATTGTAAACTGGAGGAAATGTTATCTCTTTATTTTTGGTTGCCCGGAGGCCATTTCTAGTGTTTTGTGAAACTTTGATATAAATTGTTGGAAACCAATTGTATGGGCTGATGTTGTTGTCTTTTGTTACCCGGGCCGGAGGCCCAGTGGATGTTAATGAATGATTTTAGTTGCATGCAACGGAGTTTGGATTTGAACCGAGTTTAAATGTCAATTTTTAAAATTATGCAAAAAAATTTTCTACTATGGTAATTTGTTGTAACATCTTTCCTTTTCTACCATAATAGTGACTTTACGACGAGTTTATAATGTTTTGTGGGTTAAGGGCTTTACATTAGGCATAATCACGCAGCTTAAATCTTTTTTTTTTTTGACCGGAACGCAGCTTAAATCTTGAAGACTGGCAAAAGTTGTCAGTCACAAGATGTGACCAATTTCTAAAGGGGAGGTCATGAGACAAATGAGAAGCATACTTGGAAAGTTCAGCACACATGTAACAAGAATGGCCATGCAAGAAATATATACCGAAGGGAAAAAGATGCTCTAATAAACAAATTTAGCTCCTTGATAGCTTAAAAGCAGAAGAAGCGTCCAGAGCAGAATTTACCTGAGGCCAAAAACAGCCGATTGAGCATACACAACTGGGCTTTGATAGTTTAAGTGAACAACAGCCCATTGAGCATCCACTATGGAATATTTATAATGTTATAGCAAGTCTCTGACGCAATACCTGCCAAGAAGCCCTATCAGATAGCCGCCATGTGCCCAGCCAGTGAACCTGCTTTAAATATGGCTTCACATTACTCGATGTTTTTCGCATGAATCAGTAAACATACTATTACTTTGGCAATGAAATTAAAGAAGGTTTAGAGATTCGGAGGAGAGTCTGAAAAAGAAAGATATAGCTTTTTTATTTTGAACATTGTAAGTTTACATGATATACCAAATAGTGGATATGTTTTACGGAATACATTTCTTCAATGGGGAGCGAGGCACCGCTCAAATGGAAATTCCTTGTTGTCAATGGTCACTTGTTACTGCTTTCCTTACATTATTTTGGGAGAAGGAATTTCCATAATATCAGATAGAGCCGGGAATCAGGGCTGGCCCGGCCCTCCAGGGCCGGCCCTTCAGGGCTGACGGGCTTAAAAGGGCCGGCCCTCCAGGGCTGGAATTTTAAAAATACCCCAATTTGCTAGGCCCGGCCCTTAAGCTACAGGGCCAGGGCCGGCCCGCGGACTTTTGGCCCGTTTAAGAAAAAAATACTATTTTTTATATTTATCATATTTTTTATAAAAATAAATCAATGAAATTATTAATAAAAGACATAAATATGAATAAAATTAAGTCACATATAAAATATCATCATATATAAATATTCATCAACATCTAAGAACATCTAAAACATTCATTAACAAGATAACAACATCTAAAAGTTTTATCTATAATGCAATTGTGCAATAAATAAACGCTATTATTAATCTTTTGAAATTTCATCATCACTATAATTAATTACTTTTCTTCATAAGTATACTTTTCTTTCGTAACAAAAATATCAAGTTTTTCTTCTTTATAAGAATTTTATTTTTAAATTTTGCAATCTAACTATTTTTTTACTTTAATGTGAGAAACATTGCTGTTAAAACTCATGAATTTCTAATTCAAATTATAGAATCACAAGTTATATAAGTATAAAAATATTCTATTATCAAATATATATATAGTTTAAAAATATCAACGCATATAATATAAATCAAATCATTATTAAAGTCCAAATTAACCCATTTTTTAAAAATTTAATTGGATAAATTATTATCTAAAACTAAATTTACTTTTAAAATGATAATAATAACTAAATATTTGAAATATTATTAACAATGTAAAAAATTAATAACATTAATATTATATAAAAAAATTTTAAAAATAAAAAAAAAAATATAAAAGGGCTTAAAAGGGCCGGCCCGTGGCCCTTCAGGGCCGGCCCTTTTAAGCCCTCGGCCCTCCAGGGCCAGCCCTCCAGGGCTTATGTTTCATTTTAAGAGAAAAATATCAAGCCCGGCCCTCATAATTTCAGGGCCTAAAAGGGCCGGCCCGACGGGCTCGGCCCGTTTTCCCGACTCTAATATCAGAGAAGACCAGAGAAACAATACCCATTTCAGAAATTCAGAAGAAAAGTTTATTAGCATTACCAAAACAGAGGATATATATTTAAAGGTCACTAGCTGGCACATGGGAATCGGGACATTTAATTCATCAATAACAAGCAAAGGACGTGAATATTTATCACCATAATGCAAAATGATCGATATAAATTACCGCATTACGTTGTTGAAATGATGTCCTTTCTGCAGCAAATGAAATGTGTTTCTAATTTCCTCCATATAAAAAAACACAAAGGATGGTAACGACACGATGTTATATATATTAGATTGAAACAAACAAGAATCCCCCCACAAGAAGAAGAAGAAGAAGAAGAAGAAGCGCCTCTAGCCAAATGGGAAAAGTTAAAAAGAAAATAGAAAGGAATTGCAGGGATCAATTTTATCAGAATCAAAGGCGAATCACATAATTTACCTTGGATCGTGTACATGAACAGGGTTTGTTTCGAAGCACATACGATTTCCCTTCTACTCAGAATGCCAAAATTCTAGGGCTTTAATTTGATCAAAACACGATGACCAGAAAACATCGAGAAGGTTTACCAGACGATTGAGAAAATTAATGATGATGGAAGAAAAACTTGCTTCCTTCCTTATTGGGTCGGTCACAAAATGGCAATGTTTTTCTTCCTGTGGCTTTTGCCTACCTATTAAATTTATTTAAATATTTCATTGTACTCCCCATAATTGGTAATTAGAATAAATAGATGTTTTTTTTTCCCAAAAGGAAGAGTTAGTGTAGATGATTATAAGAATAAACTAAAATTTAAATATAATTTCGAATTATTTGTATTGAGTAGTTATCTTCTAGTAACATGAGGCCTCATCATGGTTTATACACACGTTACTTTTTTATTATAAAACTAAAAATAAACACTATAGCCCTAATCTATTATGAAGAGCTATGTGACAAGATTTAGCCATTAAATGTTGAATTTCATCTAAAATACAAAATTTAAATGCATTTTATTTTTATATTTATTATTTTTTGTTAAACTAATTTATCTTATTTAGAAACTAATATGCACTCTAATACTACATCCACCTCTTAATATAATGTAAATAGTTCTTATATTAAGAATCAACCAATAGGGGAAACAGGGGAAATTTCTCATGTTAATTATATATTGCCATGTCAGTCATTTTTTTGTTACATATAGATATTTTTTTAATAAGAGGTAATCGTATTCAGGGAAAAAGATAGAAAAATAACAAATGAATTTCATAATACTAAAAAGGTCTGTTAAATTTGAGAAATCCCAATTTAGTTTCAAGAGACTAATTTGGCATTTATAAGTTTGTTAAAATGACCATATTACCTTTCATTTTATGTATTATTTTTAAAATACCAAAGCTCTCATTGGTCGACCAGTCACGGGAACTTCGACAGCGGCAGTCACCAGAGCTCCGGAGACCAGTCGACAATTGGTCACCGGAGCTCTGCCGATCGAAAACAATATTTTTGAAAATTTTTACAATTTCAGTATAACAGTTAACAACTTTTGTATCGTTATTAACAATTTCAATATAACAATTAACAATAGGTTTTCTAGGAAATTCAACAAACTCCGAAGGCTAGAAATAAATTTTTTGAAAATTTTTACAACTTCAGTATAATAGTTAACAATTTTTGTAATGCTATTAACAATTTCAATATAGCAGTTAATAATAGGTTTTTTGTAAAATTCAACAATTGGTCGCCGGAGCTCCGACAGCCGAAAACAATATTTTTGAAAATTTTTACAATTTCAGTATAACGGTTAATAACTTTTGTAACGCTATTAACAACAGGTTTTTCGAGAAATTCAAAAAGTAGCATTTTTATAACTTTAATAATGCCGTTAACAAGTTTCGTAACCCTATTAAAAACTTTAGTATAGCATTTAACAATATGTTTTCTTAAAAATTAAAAAAATGGCATTTTTACAACTTTAGCAACTACTTTTTTTTTTTTTAGAATTTTTACAACTTCAGTATAAAGGTTAACAGCTTTTGTGATGTTATCAACAATTTCAATATAGCAGCTAACAACAAATTTTTCAAAAAATTTAAAAAGTAGCATTTTCATAATTTTAGTAATATCGTTAACAAGTTCCGTAACTCTATTAACAACTTCGGTATAGCATTTAACAGCGAGTTTTCTTAAAAATTTAAAAAAATGGTATTTTTATAACTTTAACAACTACTTTTTTTAATAAAATATTTACAACTTTAGTATAATGGTTAACAACTTTTGTAACGCTATTAATAATTTTGATATAGTAGTTAACAACAGGTTTTTCAGAAAATTCAAAAAGTAATATTTTTACAACTTCAGTAATGCTATTAACAAAATCAAAAACCTGTTGTTAACCGCTGTACTGAAATTATTAATAGTGTTACAAAAGTTGTTAACCGTTGTACTGAAGTAAAAATTTTCAAAAATATTGTTTTTGGCCGCCGAAGCTCCGGTAACCAATTGTTGAATTTTCCCAAAAACTTGTTGTTAATTAGTATACTGAAGTTGTTAATAGCATTACAAAAGTTATTAATTGTTGTACTAAAGTTGTAAAAATTTTCAAAAAAAATTGTTTCTGGATGTCGAAGCTTGTTGAATTTTCTATAAAATCTATTGTTAACTATACTGAAGTTGTTAATGACGATGCAAAATTTGTTAACCGTTATATTGAAATTGTAAAAATTTTCAAAAAAAATTATTTCTAACTAGCGGAGCTCCGATGACTAATTATCAGCTAGTCATTAGAGCTCCGGTGACCGACTGGCCAGTGAGGACTTTGATATTTTAAAAACAATAAATAAAATGAAGGGCAATATGATTATTTCAGCAAACTTATAAATGCCAAATTAGTCTCTTGAGACTAAATTGGGATTTCTCAAATTCAGCAGACCTTTTTTGCATTAGAAGTTCATTTGTCATTTTTCTGTCTTTTTTCCTCATATTTAAGGCACTGTCGGGCACTAAGGTAATGTTTGGTATAAAGTATTGAAAATAAACAATAGGAATTGGGATTGAGATTGAGAAAATAGTGTTTAGTATGAGATATTACTTGTTATATAAGATTAGACAAACCCATGTATGTGGGATTAAGAAATATCATGGGAGAAAGTGATATTTTCTAAACATGTTTCCATGAGTTTATCTAAGAATTACTCATACTAAAAATGTTTTAAATATTTTTTAACTACAATCTTAGTTTTTATTTTTAAAATACTTTATATCAAATGAGACCTAAATGTGGGTACCTTTTTTTTTGGTGAGAATTTAAAATTTAGTTGCCGACGTTGCAAGGAGTGTGTTGTGCTGCCCAGCAAATATTAATAATAATATCAAGGCCCAAGCCAATACATAAAGGCCACGTCTATTTTATCGTCATTGCTCGTTATAGTATGTGTCCTTGTTGCTCGTTGGCATCCATTCGTTTTTTCCGGTGTATAATAAAGGTGTAATAAATAACCAGATATGTCGTTGGCCCCGGATATGGCGAAACGCCAAATTCATAGGGACCATCAGTTAAAGGCCTCCGATTCCGTTGGAACGGGGACACGCATGTGCTGGTTACTGCTTATTATTGACACCCTTGCTCTGAGCACCTTCCATATTCAATATAAATATATGAACTACTTAAATATTCAATTTAATTTTCATATAAAATTTTAATTT